TAGTAGTACGTAAGTTACTAACGTACGTACGGGTCCGGTTACGGTACGTTAAACTTACTTACCTTACTACGTACGTAGTAGTACGTAGTAGATATATATATATATATATATATATATATATATGGGGTGCAGTTGGCATACAGATGCATCTGTAGCTGTAGAGGTAAGGTGCACCTTCAAATTTTAACATGGTATATAATTTTGACATAAAATGTTCTTAGGATTGTCGCAAAATCTATTCTTATATCTAATTATAAAATTTTAAATTTCAAAAATGGTTAAAATCAACTAAATCTATAAACATATGAAAATCTTGAAAATGGATGGTGTAGATAATATGTTGTAAAATGCACTATTTTTGAAACTTAAAATCTTTTTATTTTTCATGGTCATACATCTCGATGTCGAGATGAAAGGGTTTTTCAACATTAAAACTACCTTTTCCGATGGATTTTTGAGGTTCATCCGTAGTTCTACATTATAAGGTTGCATCTTTATATAAACTTTTTCCTATATATATATATATATGGGGGTAATGATCTTATGTAATTTAAATATACCATCTTATGGTGTATAAGAGGCCTTTTTACCCCTTTCTTTTAGAAAATTCCTTTTGTTGAGTACCCGAAATTTGGAGGAGAGTGAGGGGAGAGAGAGCATAACGATAGAAAAGTAAGAAGTGAATCAACTTAAAAACCATTAACTGGGGTGGGTTTTGAGATTTTGTTTATCGTCAGAATGGACAATACAAGATTCAAATACACCCCAATAAGGCAACAAACACAAAATGAGAAAGTACAAGATAAGGCTATTTATCTTCAGTAGAAGGTCACAAGCACCTCTAGCCATCACATGTTAAATCAGCCGGCGTACCATTGACCTTGCTCAAAGCCTGATTACATTTTGCTCAAACTTTGTGCAAAGAACCAATTTGACATCTGACTGCTAGGCGCAATTATGACTTTGTTGTACCAAACAAATAGTCTTATAGAAAACAAGCATATAAAAAAACACGTAGACAACTCCTAACAATTTAAACCCACCAGTAAGAGAAAGAATGGGATTTGCCGAGAAAAGGTGCTTGAGAGTCAAATTCTAGTGAAAAAAAGGAAAGAATTATTAGTTGTTGTTGCAATCCATCATAGTTGAGGTTCCCTTAACAGACTTGGACATGATTTCTAGTTGTTCCATCAAAGATGGGGGAGAGAGAGAGAGAGAGAGTGACGTGAGAGTCCAACAGACCTCATACGCCTCTCATATCTTCTTTTATATTATTTGAAATATGAAAAATGGCAATATTGTACATACAAACTAGAAATAGGACATATAGGTCCTAATAACTTAAACAACAAACAAATAAAGATAAGGACTTCTGACACTCCCCCTCAAGCTAGAGCATGAACATCACCCATGCCCAACTTAGAACAAATTGTTTGGAACATATTAAGCCTAAGGGTCTTGATGAAGATGTCAGCCACTAATCCTTAGATTTCACATACACAGTAGATACCTACTTACTAGTATTCTTCTCCCAAATAAAGTGATAGTCAACTTCAATAAACTTAGTTCTCATGAAAACACTGGATTGCTAGCACTTCATATACTCAACAATAATAAACCCCATCTCCTGCATCATTGTCTTCAGCCACATCAATTCACATATAGTATATGACATTGCTTTATATTCATCCTCTGCACTAGATCTAGCCACTACAATTGTTTCTTACTTCCTTATAGAACCAGATTTCAACCAATAAATGTAGAATAGCATGTGGTAAACTGCCTGTCACATGAAGCACCTTCTCAATCATCATCTAAGTAAATCAATGATCAAATTATTATTTGACTTGTAAACTAGATCTCGACTGGGGTCTCCCTTCAAATACCACAAAATTCTATGAAAAATATCCCTGTAGGGAATCATGGGAAAGTACATAATCCAACTCACTATACTTACTACAAACAATATCAAACCAAGTGATGGTCAAATAAATCAGCCTTCCTACCATCTTTTGTACATTCCTAGATCCTCAAACAACTCCCCTTTCATCACCATCATCATCATCAGAGCTTTATCCCAACTATTTGGGGTCGACTACATGAATCTTACTCTGCCATTTTGCTCTATCAAAGGCCATACTCATGGTAAGATCATAAGTCCCCATATCTTTTCTCACTATTTCCATCCATGTCCTTTTGGGCCTTTCCCTTGCTCTTTTAGAGTCTTTCCCTTGAGCCAAATCATACCTCCTAACTGGTGCTATATTGGGTCTGTGTTGCACATGGCCAGTCAACCAAAGTCTATTTTCCCTCATCTTATCACTCATTGAAGCCACACCTCAGTTCCCTCAGATGAAATCATTTTGAATTCTATCTTTTTTTATCATGTTACTCATCCATCCCAACATCATCATCTCAACTACACTAATCCTATAGGTATGTTGTTTCTTGGCTGCCAACATTCCATCCCATAAAGCAAAGCTAGTCTCACAGTTGTCCTATAGAACTTTCTCTTCAGCTTCATTGGTATAAGTGATGACCACATAAAACCCCGGAATCATATATCCGCTTCACCCATCTAGCTCTAACTCTATGTACAATATCTTCTTCAATCTCCATTTTCCTGAATTATCGACCCAAGATATCGAAAATATTATTGTTAACAGTTTCAAAAAAAATATATTAAATATACCCTCTTTTAGATAATTCTTAGCCATTAATCTTAACTACTTCCTCGTTTCTACTCTTATTATTACTATACTTGCATTCCATATATTTTATATTAGTCAAGCTAATTTTAAAGGGAAAAGTTTATACAGAGCCAAGGCTCTAAACAATCAAATAAGAGCCTACCTCAAAAATTTCACTAGAAGAGGTTGCTTTGATGCCCAAATATCCTCAAATTGATCATCTCGGCATCAATATGCATGGATATGAGAAAAAAAAGATTTCAAATTTTGGAAATATTGTATTTTGTAACGCATTTTTGAATAGTCAAATTTCAAGATTTTCAAGTTTTTATAAATCTGTCGATCTACACTATTTTTTAATCTTTAAACTTTATAAATAAAGATGAAAATATATTTTAAGTCTATCACAAAGACTTTGAAGGTAGGCTCTAATTTGATTGTTTAGAGCCTAGGCTCTATACAAACCGCACCCAATTTTAAAACCTTTAGATTATGTAGAATCTCTCCAAGGTTCTAACTTTGCGTTGATGCTGCTTCTAGTCTCATTGATCAAAACTATGTCAACCACGAATAATATATACCATAGTATCCCATCTTGTATGTACCTAGTTAACAAGTCCATATTAAAACAAAAAGATATTAGCTCAACGCTAATCCCTGATTTAGGCCTAATGTCACTGAAAACTCACCTGTCTCTCCACTAGTTGTCAACAACCTAGTAAGCGCTCCATTAAACATATCTCTCACCATGTCAATATAGCATCTGGAGGCTCCATTCTTTTCTAACACCCACCAAATTAAATCTCTCGGTACCCTATCATAAGCTTTCTCTAAATCAATAAAGACCACATGGAGTTCTTTTTCCCTTTCCCTAAACATCTCAAACAATTACCTAAGTAGGAAAATGATCCCACCTCGCTGGCATAAAACCAAATTGATTTTTTGATATACTCATTTCATGTCTTGATCATTGCTCAATCACTCTCTTCCATAGCTCCTTATGCCTCCTTTGTTCTTGTAAATAGGTACCACAGTACTTTTTCTCCATTCATCTAGGTAGCTTGTTTCAAAGAGTGGCCTACCTAGGTGTGCCAAGGGGGGATGGGCATGAAACTTTTTCCTTCCAAATATGGGGGAAAGGGGGTTGGTTAGGTTCTTATGTGACCTAAACCCCTTTCGATACCTTTTGGAGTGAAAAAAACTTGAAAAAAAAGGAAAAAAAAACATAAACACACATTTTTGCATTTCTATAAGATCGAATTTGGTATTTCAAAATTTTGAAAAATCGATTCAAACATCATCCTTTTAATTTGGATTTGGTTTTGTAGATTTTCTAAGCTTATTAAAGGGTTTTTAGGAAGCATTTGAGATTAAGAAACATATCAAACATTGACGATTGAAAATCAAACAAAAAGGTTAGTTAAGAATCTTCATAGTTGAGATTTTATTTGTTATTTCAATGTCGTCCTTGGGCTCTTTTAGAAGTGATGATCCGGATTGGAAGCATGCTTTTCACCCAAATCCAAATAAAAAAAAATTGTATAAGATGTAACTATTGAGAAAAAGATACCCATGGGGGCATAAACCGGTTCAAAAACTACCTTGCCAGTATTAGGGAGAATGCTGCCCCTTGTAAAAAGGTTCAGGAAGCTATTAGGGAGGAGATTAAGTAATATTTGAGTTCGGTAAAACACAAAAAAGACAAAAGGAGCCTTTTCATTTGAATAAGTCTTCTTTTGGTTCTTCTAAAAGTGGTGATCCGAGTTAGGAGTATACTTGTAACCTGAATCCAAATGATAAAAATTGTATATGATATAATTTTTGTGAAAAAGATACCAATGGGGGCTATAAACTGGTTCAACAAACACCTTGCCAGTATTAAAGGGAATGTTCTATTGTAAAAAGGTTCTTGAAGCTATTAGGGATGAGATTAGATAATATTTGAAGGCAAAACCAAGAAAATAAGAAAATAACTCTTGCTATACAGAAATGTCTTTTCCAGGTTCTTTACCCAAATCCGAATGGAAAAAATTGTATAAGGTGTAATTATTGTAGAAAGGATACTAATGGGGGTATTTACCTGTTCAAGAAATACCTTGCCGATATTAGGGGGCAAGTTGCCCCTTGTAAGAATGTTCCTGAAGAAATCAGGTAGGTGATTAAGCAATATTTGAGTTTGGTAGAACACAAAAAGTAAGAAAAGGGTGACAAGCACATCAAGTAGAGCAGCAAACACTCCTAGGGCCTCTAGATCATCTTCACAAAGCAATGGGAAGGGCGGCAAAAGAAGAGGAGGAAGAGCATATTCAGAAGAAATGTAGGGGGACAAGCATTATATTAAAGCAGGAGATGGCTCTAATTATGATGGACTCGACTGCGATGCATATGATGAGGCTTACCCCACTTTTCTGATGATGACTGAAGACTCTTGACTCGTGAGTCTTCGAGTGCATATTTTCTTTTTCATATTTTCTATCCTTATGTGAATGCTTACACCATTGTATGGAACTATGGATTATAGAATCGCATGGACTGTGGAGCATAGAGAATGGTTTATGAAGTATGGATTATGGATTGTGCTTTTATTACTATGATATTATATTTTTGGTTGTTCTAGTAGTCTATTACAATGGTTTGAAACTTTGGATTATGGGATTTTTAATATTTTATGATGTGTTAATGTGTTATTGTCATTTACTCATATTTATTGCCAAACGGAATAGTCTAATAGTCTTAAATTCGTAATGTCGTATGTTCATATTCCCATGGCTGCCCACTTCTTCAACCTAGGCTGCCCAAAAATCGGGAAGCCCGCCTAGCAAACCAGGCACCCTTGAACATTTCCCCTTGTTTTTTGGACCATTTCTATAAATTAATAAAGATCACATGGAGATCTTTTTTCTTCTCCCTGAACTTCTCCATCAGTTGCCTAAGTAGAAAAATGGCTTCAATTGTTGACCTCCCTAGCATAAAATCGAATTAATTTTCTAATACACTTGTTTCATACCTTATGCATTGCTCAATCACTCTCTCCCACAGCTTCGTAGTGTAGCTTATAATTTTGATCACTTGATAGTTCACACAATTATGTATGTCTACTTTGCTCTTGTAAATGCACAGTTCTTTTTCTTCATTCGTCTGGCACTTTCTTTGTTCCCAATGTCTTGTTGAACAACTTGGTCAGCCAACATATCCCAATCTCCGCCATGCACTTCCAAACCTTTATCGCAATACAATATGGTCTTGAAGCCTTTCTTATCTTCATCCTCCTCGAAGCTTCTTTCACTTCAGATATCATAATCCTGCGAATGTATTTATGACCCCTACCTTCATTTATGCCAAAGGTTCAAGGCTCGTCATTAAACAATTTTTTAAAATAAACTCTCCATCATTCATTGATATCATCATCCTTCGCCAAGACCTGATCCTCACTTTTAATGCATTTCATATGGTCTGACCCTACACTTCCTCTCTCATTTTTGCTAGTTTGAAGGCATCTTTTTCACCTTCTCTATTCCCATTTTATTGCATTGATTATCAAACAACTCCCCCTTATCATCCAATAATTTTGTATTTGAATCCATATGAGTATCGACAAGTTTAGCACCTAACATTCTAGTTTCTATCAACAATTCAGTCACATAATTTCTTTGAAACAAGCTAGTGTTATGCTTTGATCTGGCTACTTTAATTCCTAGAAAGTACCTTAGCTGACCCAAATCCTTTGTCTGAACATATTGTTTTTAGATGTCTCTTCAAATGAATGATTCCTTCCCGATCGTTGCCTATAATGAAAATATCATCGCCATATACTAAATCAATTATCCTAGAGTCTTGTTTCCAAATAAATATCGAATGATCTGCATAGCTGCGTCGAAATCCATCGGCCACAACAATCTCGCTAAATTTCTCAAACCATGCACATGGGAACTACTTTAAAAATATAAATCACTTTCTTCAAGTAATATACCTTGTTAGACTCCCCTACACAACAAACTCAGCTGATTGCCCCATATACACCTCTTGTAAATCAACATCGAGGAACGAATTTTTCATATCAAACTGAATTAAATTTTGCAACAGGAGCAAAAATTGCAATCAATGCCAAAGGCTCAATTTTATCATTTGGCAACCAATCCGCCTTTTAATCTCTCGACAGTGCCATCAAGCTGATATTTTATTACATAACCCAACAACACCCAACAGTCCTTCCAACTGGTACCTCAGTGAACTCACTTGTATCATTCAAGTTGAGTGCATCAATGTCCTCTTCCATCGCTTTCTTCCACCCGGCTAGAAAGTACCTCTTGATAAGAATTAAGGATAGAAATGGTTGAAAGAGCTAAAGAAAAACTTCGATAGGATGGAGACAAATTTATAGAGGTAATAAAATGAGCAATACAATGTCAAGTACATGACATTATACCTTTACAGATGGTGATATGCACCTTCACAGATTGAAAGGTTAGCTGAAACGGTGGAGGGTGTCCATCCTTCACTTTCCTCTCGTGTAATCCTTTATGGGCTGCTCCTAACGGACATCATGGTGTGTAAAAGTAATAGTCATGCAGGGCCAGTTAACTGAGGGGAAGAAGTATCGATAGAAATAAGAAGATGAACTATACAAGATGAGCACTTTGAGGCTTCCTTCGAAGCAGGACAAAAGAAAGACCATCTTTTGGAAAAAAAAAAAAAAGACGAGTATTTTCAATAAAAGGTAACATCATTACAAATAAATTTCTTTTGTAAACAAGGATATCAGTTTAGTCTTGTAGGGAAACTCTTTTGAAGTGGTGGGGAGCCGCATCCAGGCTCAAGGTTTGTCTCTGACATAGATGAGGTTAAAGACTAGAACGAGTATATGAATGACAAAAGCACACCTAAAGAGAGACCTGCCAGCAAGGTTGGAAGATAGGCATGGGAAACTGAGTGTGAAGGGCTTAATGGGTGTGGTAATGCTTGAAAAGGGATGATTGTTACATTTCTAGTTGCATGAGATATTGAAGGTTCGAGTTATTTATATTTTAGTTTGGTTAATCAATCAAATCATGGAATTTTCTTTTTATGGTTCTATACTTTATCAATCATCATCAAAAAATAAAAAAGAACATCCAAGAGGGCGTTATAATAAATCACAATTCAATAAAATGAAATATAGATGTAGAAATATTGTCTCCTGGATATTTTTCATGAATCAGATATTGATGTTGGAATCACTCATGTGAATTCATTTATATAGCCAAATCATGTAGAGAGCATTTAGGCTAAGGACGACACGAGGGGACAAATAAGGCGCATAGTCATTCACTCACTAATGCCGACAATAAATGAACAATTTTAGTTTCCATTTTAAAGATGCAAAAGCACATTAGACAGGAAATCATACAACAATTTTACAATTAACAAATACACCTCAAAAGATCAACTGGAGTTTACAACCTTACATTTGAAAGCATGTCGAAGAAGTCTTTGAGCACCTGAACCTTGAATTTTGAAAAAAACAATAAATCATTTAGGATCTAAAGGACAATCCTGAACACAAATAATAAAAATGACCATAAAAATAAAAATATTTAGTATAAGTTGAATATACAGAATGACCAATGAATATGTATGGACTGCAATACCTCCTGAGAAGCCTTTGTATCTTTTATTAAAGCCATGACATTTGGAGCGTCTAGAACTTCCTTTAAACTGTGCCTGTTAATCAACAGAAAACAAATGGAGTGACAAAAGGATGTTAATCTCTTCATCATAAAAAATTGTAAAACATTTATTTTATTCAAGGAAGTTTGATTATGTATTAATAATATATTTAAAGAACAAGGAAATTTGACTATGCATTAATAATATAGTAAAAGAATCTACATCGATGCATTACAGCAGTATATGTTAAAAAATGGACATGTATCAAAAAATTGATGTGTACAATGAATTATACAAAAAATTCCTATTTAGGGCTGAGCCCTAAAGACAAAAAAATGCTGGCTGCTACACCCTCCTTTCCTAATGTATTTGCAGCAATGTTTGCCTCGTGCCGCACATGTTTGACAGAAACTAGTAAAGCACCGTAAATCTCAAACATTTGATCAAACAAGTATTCTAGTTGCCAAGGGCAGGGAAGCTCTCTTTAGGCCTATCTAATAACATTCAATGTGACCCCATGCACTCAAAGAACAGTAGCCCCTATTGGAACTGAAAAGTTGCCCTCCAACAAAGATACAGCCTGCCTTGGTTGAGTTTGCTGTGTCGATGGGGCCTCAATAGGGTAGTATGAAATAGTGAGCATGAGATCTAAAGTCCCCCTGAGGCCCACAGGACCTGGGTTACCTATAGGACAACAATCAAAGTTCCGCTTGATTGCACTAGGAGCCAAAGGCAGCTATAGGTTGGCTCTAATCACCATACGGCTAGTAGTTTGGGGAAGGCCCCCACTTTTAAGCAAAATCTAACATGGACCAGATAGGAAATCCTTCCGGTTTATGGCCCAAATGGTGATTACGACACTAAACTTGCCTTTTGAGGCCTCAAGCTACTTTCCTTGTTGTCAAAGACTCTTGAATTGCGGAAGAGATCATTAGCAAAAAAGGATGGAGAGAAACAACCCAAGAGAAATTGTTGGACATTCTAGTTTTTAAAAATTTATTCCTAGCATGACACAATTGTTTTTTGTTTTGGCCCAACCTAATTTATTCATATCTTTATGTATGAGCGCCTAGATAAATCTACTTCATATATTACATGAAAGTTGGCCTATGTAATCTAGGCAAGTGTATACCGATTTAATTTTTTCTTTCTTTTCTTTATTTTCACCTCCCAGATTACTTAAAAATGTCTAAATACATTTTGATAAACAATAAAAAAAACACAAAGAATCCAAGGGCTCTCACTTGCTGCTATTTTAACAACTCTTTATTGCACAAACAAAATTGCATAAACTTGATCTTGGGAGCATGACACACAATACCTAGTATGGTGAGCTAGGTCTCAATACCTAATATGAAAGACTAGACCTCAATGCTTAGTATGTGTCATAGGGCTGTTGGGTGTGTTTTTAGTCACATATGAGGCTAATATACTCCAACCGATGCTTGATAGAGGTATTAATAAAAGCGTGAGTTAACGAACGCTGGATAAGCTATCTTAACAAATGCTGGATAGAAGGTATATAAGTTCGACAAGCTTAACCTTTGAAGATATATCTTCGCTAATAAACATGTTTCTTAATCCTAATATAAGACTAAGGGTGTTCTAACGAATGCTTGATAGATTGAAGATGTCAATATAAAGCAGAGTTTCTAACGCACGCTTGATAACTGTCTTAACAAACGATCGATAAAATATGAGCACGATTCTTGATAACACCTGCTCAGATATGCCCCATGATATGAAGATAAAGAGTCGTAATTCGATGCTTGTCCCGCCTAAGCAGAGTCCCGGGAGGGGTGATCTGGAAACGATCCTAACCTTTGGCTTATGCACAAAGTGGCCAGTCTCAAGACTCGAACCCGCGCTCTTGCGTTAGCTACCCAAACCTTTTACCATGACACCAAGTGACGGCCCCATGATATGAAGATATGACATGAAAAATATGATATGCTCAGGATTCATGTTATGAAGGCCCCAATATGCCTTCGGAACCCTGTCTTGTCAGTCAACCCCTATATATACTGACTTACATCCAATGAAAGATATGATACCAATAGTTCGTTAGTTAAGCATGTTCAAGTTTAACTTACAGTTGATGATAGAAGATATGGAAGCCATCTCATTTTGAGACAAGTTCTAAGATACATATACTCTTAAGGCCTTATATGCCTATCTATATCATATGTGGAGGAACTTGATGTGGTTTGATATACATATTTTCTTAAATCTATTGTTAGTTACACATGTGCATCGTAACTTACGGTCTATGACAAGAGATAATGGAGAGATTTCAATTTGAGATGAAACTTTGGGATACATATACTCCCATATAACATGGATGCCAGTCCACTGGTTATGGTAGGACTTTTGGGTGACATATGATATGACTCTTTTAACCCGTTAGTTAAGACTATAGGGTTTTAACAGACGGAGTACAAGGGAAACCTCACCATATGTTAATATATTGAGGTAAATCCCTGAAGATATACATGTGAAGGCCTCATATGCCTTAAAGTCCAGGAGTGATATAACTTGGGCAATACTTGGACTTGGCTTAACCCATGTCCATATCCATCGTCAATTAAAATATTCCTTAACAGATACCTCAAAACTTGATTTTTTCGAAATCAAGTTGAGACTCTCAGGGACCCATGTTTGAGTCATTATAACCCTCTCCCTGAAGTTTCATATCAAGCGAAGGTGGCTTAACCCATCATCCGTATGCCCGACAGTTGGAGCCTTAAAATCTCTATCCCCTGTGCGTTACAGACAGTATGACACCCAGTCACCAAAATTAATAGTTCTCTCTCAATATGACGAATTTTCTGAAGGGACCAAGACCATTGGATGCACGACTCAATGCTCTATCACCCTTAAAAGGTGCAGCATTGATTGAATTGTACATTGGAAGCGATTGCATCTGCAATCCACTGGTTATGCTGATGTTGTTTCCAGTAGAAACACAGTAACTTGAACGGACCATATCTCTCTCATCTGACATCCATTTGAGGCAAGACTTGGACCATTGTTTTCATCTTTGAGTCGTCTCTCATCTAAACAAATTTCATGTTCAAAAGATTTGTCATTTGCAAGCGGTTGTACCCGCAATCCACTGGTATTGCTGATGTAATTTCCAGCAGAAATAGGTTAACTTAACGGAAGAGATCTCTCTCATCCGTGATCCATTTGAAGTGAGATTTGGACCATTGTGTTCGTATTTGAGTCCTCTTTCAGCTCACCAAATTTCACATTCAAAGGATTTTTCATTGAGAAGAGGTTGCACCCGCAATCTACGAGTATTATATTGGTTCTACTGACACAATTTCCAGCAGAAATATATTAACTTTGATGGTCGAAATCTTTCTCATCCGTGATCCATTTGAAGTGAGATTTGGACCATTGTGTTTATCTCTAAGTCCTCTTTCATCCCTCTAAATTTCATAACCAATGGATCTACCATTTGAAAGCGGTTGAAGAAATACGAAGACATGTCAAGGCTATACTACAAAAGCTTAACTTACACTTGATAAGAGATAACAGAATCCCTAATTTTTCTCACGTGATGACTCCGTTGAATCTGGGATCTGTGAATTCAAATTGAAGATGAGCATTGACTATGACGTGTGATTATCCTCAGTAGACACTTGTACGAGGATTTGAAATACATAATTACCAATTTAAAGACCGGATGAAGAAGTACGATCAAAAGATACGAGGATCGCACTTTTCGAGTTTATCACACCGTAATTTTGAGAATGCAGATCAATAGACGGATAAGGATTGAAGATTTTGTGGTTAAGAGTTGACAAATCTATATATACCTCCTCCTTGATGAAGAGGGGGGTTTGATTCCTTTAAATTGAGAGGATTGAATCAACGTGATAGTGTGGGAGAGAGATAAAGAGTGGCTGTATCACCAGAACCAGTCCCTTCTATGACTGTTTCCTAAGCCATATCTGATATAGGGAGAGATATTATAGTTTTCCAGGCCCACTTGAAGCTCGATCTCGAAGAAAAACAAGTCATACCACAGTTCCCCTGTGTTTAAGCTCATTTATACGGGCCCATATACCCTTGGTATTTTTTTTATTTATGTCTGACTACATATTTTCTTTCCTAGAATTGAATGTATAGGTTTCAAAGCCCGAATCAAGGGTATTCGGCCTAAGTCAAGCTAATGTAAATTGTAACAGAGGATTAAACCTCTGGAACTTGTCCGTTCCCAATATATGATATAAAAACCTATGTTTCTATGATGAGGAATGCAGGGCAAATTTGGCCCCGAATGTGTTGTCCTCTGGTTGTTCACTTGGAGTCTTGTGTTTCATAAAACCTTGTTTTTTTAATTGATTAAATCTGACAATACATTTTTCGGAGCGTTCAAGGGCCTAGTCTTTAACTTAACACCATGCGGCCTTGACCCTTAACCAAGCTGCTAAGGGTCAAGTTCAGCCTCACCACACTCACACTGTCTAAAGGACTTATGCACACACACTCACACCAAGCACAAAGATAAAGGTCTAAGGGTCGTGGCCCGTTTTATTTAATTATACACTTGCTTCGTATGCTACCACAGCTACTCCCTCAAGGGTCTGAGCCAAGGGCTTATACAAGCCTCGTTTACAGTCGTTTTACAAATTTCAATCTGTATACAGGTGGTGGCCAACCACAGCCTAGGGCCTAGTCATGGGCAGCTAGCAAGCAGCCAGGATGCCCACATCCTGAGCGGTTACGCATGAGGCTGCCAGTCTCAGCCACGTCCTAGGGTGAGGCCTATCAATGCATCATCACACCCATGCATCATAACCGTCGCCGATCTTTAGGGTCCATGTCCCTAGATGTTATGCCACAACTTGGTCGTTTCACCCACGTTGCTTAGTCAAGGTGCATTTGAATTTTGAACCTGGAACCTGCTCAGCTCATAGGTGCCTATAAAGCCCACAGTCAGCCCACACTTAGCTTGTGCCAGGCCGTGGTGCACAGGCTCCTGCACCTATGCACCATGATGTTGCATATAGGCCTGCTGCCCACCAGTTGACCCGAGGCTCACA